CTGGCGCGGGGGTCCCGGCCCCTGGCCCAGCTCCTCGTGCCCCCAGGTGTCGTGCCCGCCCCCCGAGGGCAGCGCCAAGCCCTCGGCCGAGGACATGACCTCCAAGGATTATTACTTCGACTCCTACGCCCACTTCGGCATCCACGAGGTAAAAACCCAAATCCGCCCCAAACCCACCCAAAAATCCTCCCAAAAATCCTCCCCGGGGCTTTAACGGGCATTTCTGGGGCGATTTTGGCCGGGTTTGGTGTCCAGGAGGTACCAAAAACGCCCAAAATCTGCCCAAAATAATCAGAAATTAACTCCAAATCCGCCCCAAATCATCTGAAATGAACCTAAAATTGCCTGAAATGAACCTAAAATTGCCTGAAATGAACCCAAAGTTCCAGCAGAATTCGTCCTGAGGGGATCTGGGGGGTTTAAAGGGGATTTTTGGGGGGATTTTGGCTGGGTTTGGATCCTGTGCCAAATTTGGCATCCACGAGGTACCAAAAGTGCCCAAAATCACGTGAAATCCACCCAAAATCCACCCAAAATCGTCTGGAATCCACCCAAAATCCACCCCAAATCATCTGAAATCCACCCACAATCACCCCAAATCCACCCAAAATCACCCAAAATCACCCAAAATCATCTGAAATCCACCCACAATCACCCAAAATCACCCAAAATCATCTGGAATCCACCCAAAATCCACCCAAAATTATCTGGAATCCACCCACAATCACCCCAAATCCACCCAAAATCACCCCAAATCCACCCAAAATCATCTGGAATCCACCCAAAATCACCCCAAATCATCTGGAATCCACCCACAATCACCCAAAATCACCCAAAATCACCCCAAATCCACCCAAAATCCACCCAAAATCACCCAAAATCCACCTAAAATCATCTGGAATCCACCCACAATCACCCCAAATCCACCCAAAATCACCCAAAATCCACCCAAAATCACCCCAAATCCACCCAAAATCACCCAAAATCCACCCCAAATCATCTGAAATCCACCCACAATCACCCAAATCCACCCAAAATCCACCCAAAATCATCTGAAATCCACCCACAATCACCCAAAATCACCCAAAAATCATCTGGAATCCACCCAAAATCCACCCAAAATTATCTGGAATCCACCCACAATCACCCCAAATCCACCCAAAATCACCCCAAATCCACCCAAAATCATCTGGAATCCACCCAAAATCACCCCAAATCATCTGGAATCCACCCACAATCACCCAAAATCACCCAAAATCACCCCAAATCCACCCAAAATCCACCCAAAATCACCCAAAATCCACCTAAAATCATCTGGAATCCACCCACAATCACCCCAAATCCACCCAAAATCACCCAAAATCACCCAAAATCCACCCAAAATCACCCCAAATCCACCCCAAATCATCTGGAATCCACCCACAATCACCCCAAATCCACCCAAAATCACCCAAAATCATCTGAAATCCACCCAAAATCCACCCCAAATCATCTGAAATCCACCCACAATCACCCAAATCCACCCAAAATCACCCAAAATCCACCCAAAATCACCCAAAATCCACCTAAAATCATCTGAAATCCACCCACAATCACCCAAAATCCACCCAAAATTCACCCAAAATCATCTGTAATCCACCCAAAATTCACCCAAAATCATCTGGAATCCACCCAAAATTCACCCAAAATCATCTGGAATCCACCCAAAATCCACCCGAAACTCGTCCTGTGGGGTTCGGGGAGTTTTGGGGGTTTAAAGGGGATTTTTGGGTTGATTTTGGCTGGGTTTGGATCCTGTGCCAAATTTGGTGTCCAGGAGGTACCAAAAGTGCCCAAAATCCA